TTTTAAGAAGAAAAGAACTTAAAAATCAAATTATTATTTACAGAAATAGAAAAAAAATATATATATATATTAATTATTTCTTCTCATTATTATTATTTATTTTTTTAATTCTCTATTTTATTCTACTTTTATTTTTATTATACACGCACGCACACACACATACGCACACGTACACACAAATATATGTCCGTTCATATATACATACAAATTAAATAAATCTGTATTACATTCCATCTACAAATTGCGTAAGATATAATAAATATTGCATTTACAAATTACGTATTGTAAAATAAAATAACATCATACATGTTCTAAGTACCTTACAATATAATTGTGATGTTGAGTCAATTTATAAGACATTAAATAACTAAGATTACCAAAAGTTTTTAATAATACGATAGTAATTGCTTTGTGTCAAAACCAAATAAGTGTTGTTTTGTTGCATTTATTTCATAGACATTAGGCACTCCAATTTATCTTAGTAGTGGTTTGGCACTAGCGTATTTATTTGCATTTAATATCAAGCGAATTGCTCGTTTTTGTATTTTGTAGATCATATTTAACTTTGAAGGATAAGTACTTGCCCAGATAATGTTGCAGTAGCTGATGTAGCTATGAATAAATGCAAAATAAATATTTTTTAAACAATTTGTGTTTAGGAGATGTTTTGTTTTATACATAATACCAATAATTTTTGATATCTTATTTTCTATTACTTTGATATGGTTACTCCAACTAAGATGTTCATTAAGAATTACGTCTAAAAATTTGATTGAGTATTCGCGTTTAAGTTTAGTTTTATCAATTAGTAAATCAGGTAGTTTTATGGGGAGGGTTTCAGATTTTGATAATTTTGTAAAAAGAATATATTTACTTTTTTCGACATTTAAGGAGAGTTTGTTAGCCTTAAACCATTCGTTCAGGTTTTCAAGTTCTTGACTAACAGTGTTTAATAATAGGCTAATGTTTGTGTGGTTAAAGAACACTTGCGTATCATGGGCAAAAAGGACAAAGTTAAGTATGTTAGAAGATAAGTAGATATCGTTAATATAAACGAGGAATAACAATGGACCAAGAATTGATCCTTGTGGAACCCCACAAGTAATGTCTTCAAGTCGTGTTACAGTTATATGATAAAGCTTGTTTCCGATTATTAAGGTAAGAGCGAAACCATTTTAAATTGTTATTTCTTATTCCATAATTATATAGTTTATAAAGAAGAATTTTGTGGTCAACAGTGTCAAACGCTTTTAAGAGATCGAGGAATACCCCAAGAGTGTATTTATTGTTGTCAAACCCATTTAAAATTTCATTGACAAGTTTGGCTACAGCGTGTTCTGTTGAATTGTGTTTTTGAAAGCCATATTGGTTATTATTTAGTAGGTGGTGGTTTACTAGATAATTGTTTAGCCTATTGTGCATTATGCGCTCTGATATTTTTGAAATGCATGGCAAAATAGAAATAGGCCTGTAGTTAGAAGCAATCGAATCGTCTCCGCTTTTAAATATAGGAACAACTTTTGCTAGCTTTAGCTGGTCAGGGAACACCCCATTTTTTAAAGACAGATTACAGATATGCAGAAGGGGATATTCAATAATATCGTAGACATTTTTTACAACGTTCACGCTAATGTCATCTAGTCCTGGACTTTTGTTTTCTTGTAAGGTATTAAATGCATTTTTAAGCTCATCCGGAGTTATTTCAAGCTCGTTCATGACTGAGGCTTTTTTTTCTATATACAGCTTATAACATTTTTTTCCACGAGTTATTTTATTAGCTAGTTTTTCCCCAATTTTTATAAAATAGTTATTAAATTTCTCTGCAATATCTATTGCCTTATTGGCTACTGTATCATTTTCATCTGTTTTTAAGTATTGCGGGAACACTTTGGTAGCATCTTTTTTTTTTTTTCTGTTACCTCTTTTATTACGCCCCATTTTTTTTTAGTGTTACCGCAATAATTTTCTAATAAATTGCAGTAATAGTTTTTTTTTTGAATGTTTTTTTAATTTTTCAAATAAATTTTTGTATTGTTTATATATTTTTTCGTTTTTAAAAGTCTTTTTTTTCAAAAATTTTTCATAAAGTTTTTTTTTTTTTTTTTGAAGATTTAATCCAAGGACTTTTAAGGTTTTTGAGTTTTGTTAATTGCTCAAGCTTGGGAAATTGCTTTTTCGTACAAAGTTGTAAAAGTGTGTTTAAAAATATCGTAAGCTATGTTAGTGTCTTTGCAATTAACAACCTGATCCCAGTTTTCCATTGACAAGATGCTTCGGAACTTTGTTATACTTTTTTCATTTATTTGCCTTTTTGTTGTAATTATTGTTTTGTTTTCTTTTTTATTGTTGAAATTGTTAAGCAGAAGAAATATCGGAAAATGGTCACTTATGTCAGATTTTATTATTCCGCTTTGAATATTACATTTTATGGTAGTATTTGTAAATATGTTATCGATTAGGGTAGCTGTTCGGAGAGTTACTCGAGTTGGCTTATTTATTAAGGGTTCTACGCCGTGCTGTAAGAGATTATTTAAAAAGCGTTTGACATTGTTATTAGTTTTTATTTTTAAAAGATCCAAGTTAGTATCTCCCATTATGTATAAGTGCTTATTTTTAGCCAGTTCTAGGTACTGAATTATATGTTTTTTAAAGGATTTTATATTGCCATCTGGTGGTCTATATAAGCCAGTAATATACGCATTTGCTTTACCTTGGTTTGTTAATTCAACCGTGAAAGTCCACAGTTTGCGTTCAGTAAGCTTAAGCTTTCTACTTTTTTAAACTGTATTGTATTATGTATGTAGAAACATATTCCTCCGCCAGTACCTCTACTACGAGTTTGATGGAGAGCTTTATAGCCTTTTAATTGAAAATTTGAGTTTATGGTATTTTCGTCTTTGCACCATGTTTCTAAAAGGCATATTACCGTAAATTCGTGACTTATGTCTTTTAGCATTTCTTTAAAGTTTTCAAAGTTTTTGCTCACGCTGCGCATATTTAATGTCAGCGCTGAAAAAGTATTTTGTGACGCATTTATAAAACAAGATAATTCTTCGATACTATAGTAATTAGACTTAAATGAGTCGTTTTCAAAAAAATTTTTGTCAGGGTCGTTGTTATTTTTCAGAAGAAGAGTGTTTTCTTTATCAAAAATTTCAAAATATTTTGTTTCCGTCATTGTCATAATTAAAAATTTAACTGCTTAAAAAATTAAATATAAGATATATAAATATATTCATACACGTGTAAAATATAAATATATAAAAGAAGAGTTATTTTTTTTTGATATTATTTAATTTAATAATTTTATCGTACCTTAAACCAACATTTTCACCATTATTGCGTCGTTCTTTTACTTCAGCCAGGAGTCTTTCCCTAATATTGAAAGTCTCATGGGAAAAATCTTCGTTTAAGTAAATGTTTGTACCTTTTAGTCTATATGACTCTTTTAGAATTTTTGTTTTATCATTGTATCTTAACAACTTCATTATAACTGTTCTGGAGCTTCCTTCTTTTCTGGCTCCGGTTCGATGAGCTCGTTCGACTTCTATTCCATTTAGTCCCAACTTATTGACTAAAAATAGTTTAAATTTATCCTCAGTTTCATTCCATGTTTCTTTCACACTTTCTGGTAACCCGTTTGATTCTATCTTGTTTTGAAAGCTTAACAGTTTATTACTTTTTTGTAATTGAGGTTAAAAAAAAAAAAGTAGTCTTTGGCCCGCTACATAGGGTTTCATTGGCCCGGACTAAAGTCACCCCATTTATAAGAGTAAACCTTTTTTAGTGATCATTTATAGACATTATGCAGGGGCGGATACAGGATTTTTTGAAGTTTGAAATAACTAACTTCCAGACATGGAGCGAACTCAAAACTTTTATATGTTTATAGTTATATCAAATATGGATACTTTGCAAAAAATTGAGATGATAGGAGCCTGGGAACAAAAAAGCCCCAAAATTTTTGCTACACCTGCCCCAAACGTGAGAGCAACAAGTTGATAAAATAAGTTTTTTACTTTTCTCAACTAAATCTATATTCATCGAGAAATTTTTAATTTTGTAAAACAATCTTTTAGCGTTCAATAATAATGGTCTTATAAAATTTGTAACCCCCTCAAATTGAGGGGGATTCAAACTTTATGTGGCTATAACTTTTGAACGTTAAGAGATTATTGTATGAATTTTAAAAATTCTCGATGAATATAGATTTAGTTGAGAATAGTAAAAAAATTGTTTTATCAACTTGTTGCTCTCACGTTTGGGGCAGGTGTAGCAAAAATTTTGGGGCTTTTTGTTCCCAGGCTCCTATCATCTCAATTTTATGCAAAGTATCCTTATTTGATATAACTATAAACATATAAAAGTTTTGAGTTCGCTCCATGTCTGGAAGTTAGTTATCTCAAACTTCAAAAAATCCTGCATCCGCCCCTGTTATGGTAGTTACTATGTTGGAATGAAAAATTTTGTAGTAGTAATGCAATAGAAAATCAGTATAACAGTTTGTATTTGTAAATCAGTATAAAATTATAGTGAAATTTGTTTAGTTCTTAGTTTAAATATGCCACAAAATTACAAGCCAAATCATGGAAGAAGAAAATATGTTACTTATTCTTTAGAACAGTTAGACAATGCTTTAAAAGATTTAAAGAATGGTTTAATTACTCAAAGACAAGCAGCTTTGAAATCGATATATATATATATATATATATATATATATATATATATATATATATATATATATATATATATATATATATATATATATACATATATATATATATATATATATATATATATATATATATATATATATATATATATATATATATATATATATATTTATGTATATATATATACAACTATATATATATATATATATATATATATATATATATATATATATATATATATATATATATATATATATATATATATATATATATATATATATATATATATATATATATATATATATATATATATATATATATACACACAATCAACATTAAAAAATAAAATAAAACAGACATATCCTAAAAAGTATGGTGGTCAGCAAATATTTACATTAAAAGAAGAAGACATGTTTAAGGCATATGCAATAAAATCATCTGAGTTTGGTTTTCCTGTTGATAAATATGATTTAAGATGCATAGTAAAAGGGTATTTAGAGAAAGAGACGTCAGTTCAAAAATAATTTTTCTTGTAGCGATTGGATTCGATCTTTTTTAAAAAGAAATCCAGAACTCACACTAAGATTTGCAAGCAACATAAAGTGAAAGAGAGCAGAAATAGGAACGACTGTGATTGATAACTACTTTATAAATCTATCAAATGAAATAAGTAATATATCGCCTGATAATATATGGAATTATGATGAAACCAATCTCAGTGATGATCTAGGTAAAAAAAAAAGTATTAACAAAGCGTGGATGTAAGTATCCTGAACGCATCATTAATTCTACAAAGACCTCATTCTCTGTAATTATTTGTGGCAATGCTAATGGTGAATTGCTACTACCTTATGTTGTTTACAAAGCTGCTTCCAAGACTTAAAAAGACTCAAGGAAGAAGTGTCATTATAGGTGATAACGTATTTTCACATTTGAGCATTGCAGTACTTCACATTTGAGCATTGCAGTAACGTATCTTCACATTTGAGCATTACAGTACTTTGTCAAAGCAATAACATAGGATTTGTGGCATTACCAGCAAACTTTACACATCTCACGCAGCCATTAGATGTTGTCTACTTTAGACCTATGAAGATTAACTGGCGCAAAATATTATGTGAATGAAAGGAGAAAGGAAAAGGAAGGAGAGTTGCCTCACTTCCTAAAGATGAATCTCTTAGACTTTTAGACCGTGTAATTACCAACTTAAATTAACATGGGAATGATAACCTTAGAGCTGGTTTTCGCAAAACTGGAATTTTTTCATTAGACAAGTCTCAATTGCTTTCACGACTACTATGTTGTAATGTAGGTTTAGACTCAGCTACTGATTTAGTAAGACAATCATTTTTAGACCATTTATGTAAGTCACTGGATGATCCCTCAGATGGTTCTAAAAAACAAAGCAACGTAAAGTATGTCCCAGGTAAAAGCTTATGTTCAACAGATATATCATCTTGTATTATAAATGAAAATAATAGACTAAATTCAAATAATGTAGAATTGTTGGTCTCAATTGTATTTATTATAAATACAATTGAGACCAACAACATTGACTTTGCTGGCCCAAGTACAAATACTGGAACTACTGAGACTTCTAATCTAATTTTTGCAGATGTAAGTTTAGTTGTAGAAAGTCATACAGAATCTTTAGATCATTCAGCATTAAGCAAAATAACTTTCAAAATATTGATAAAACAAAAAATGTTTGTAAAAAGGAGAAATTATTAAATCTTGTAGAGAATTGTTATGTAGTTGTTAAATGCATTGGAGAGTTAAATCCTGGACAGGTTTGTTTATTTGTTTTGAGTTATTTATATTTAGCTAATCAATTAGTAAATTTTATTTACTAATTAATTTAATAACTAATTAATTTAATAACTAATATTATTTAATGAAACTACTGAAAAATTTTAAAAAAACTTTTGAAATTTTTTTTTCTGCAGTTGGAAAAATTAAGAAAAAATGGAGCAGAAATTACTATAATGAAAAAAAATGGACTTAACTGGAAATGGTCACTACCAGCAGAGCAACTTTTTTTTCCTCAGTCTGAAATAGTCGATTTTATTGAGGAACCAAAGAAAATTTCAAAAAGAGGAATTTATTCAGTTCCAGAACTTTTTCAATAAATTTTTTGAAACATTATTTTTGTCATTTTTGTTTACTTTATACCTAAACTCTTTTGTTTACTTGGTACCTATACTTGTTTAGTTTGTACCTATATTTTATTTACTGAATACAAGAACTTTGTTACTAAATCTTTTTTTGTCACTTTTTTTTTTGTAAATTTATTTTCTTTGCCTAAATATTGTTGTTTTGCTTCCTTTAGTTCCTTTTTACAGGGTTAGGCCAAAGTCACTCTAACACATAGGGCAACTTTGGCCCACCATTTAAACTACCCAAAAGATACTTCAGGTAAATAATTTTCAAATGGGAGATAGATAGTTCTAACTGTCCTTTCTATGCACTTCTAAAAGCACTTAGTGTTTGAGCAAATAAATTTTATGGCTTTCATGCAATAGACATTAAGATGCAAAATGGGCCAAAGCCACCCAATCTTAAGGTACTTACGTTGGCTGACTTTTGAAGAAAATGCGCACCGAAGTGTATATACATAATGACTGCTTATCTAGGGATAGACACAGTGTAGCATAAATACAATGACAAGGGTTTTGGCTTGGGCAGGCAATCTTAATATTTAAAAAAAAGAAGTATTTTCTAATGTTTATTTTACATATTGGCACGTTTTTGTTTGTTTTTTGAATAAAAATTTGATTATGTTTAAGTAATTTTATTTATTTTTATTATAATTGATTAAAAAATAAATTGCTTTCAAAATATATGACTTAAGTTATAAACATTTTTTGTTTGTGAGAGATTTCATATTGAAAATCTAACTTAAAATTTTTTTTAAAACGTGCAAATAGAATATAAGATATAGTCTATTCACACGTGCGTACCAATAGACTCACTCTAAATATATTGCTATGATTACTTAGTTTTGCCATGCAAAACTAAGTAACTATACCACATAATTTCGCTCATCAAAATTAAGTAACCATAGTAACAAAATATAAAAAATCACTTTTATAAGAAGCAAAGACCTCATATTAACACACATGCCAAACAAAGTGTACATAGCACAAATGAAAAATCTTTAACTACCAGAAACAGGTTGTTGCTATGCAAAATTAGGTATTCATAACAACTAAATATAAAAATTATCACTTTCATAAGAAGTGCAGTCCTCATTTTGGTACTCTTGCTAAATTTTCTAAATAAAATACTAATATTAAATTAGTTATTAATTTTGTCTCAAAATTGACTATTCTGGCCCACTGTGGTCGCTTGCCAGTAATGTCCCGTTACTAATATAGTTGCAACGGCGTGCGATGATTTGCCAGTGTTCTGGCCCAGAGTCGTGTGCTGTCTGGGAATATTAGCGTAAGAAAGTTGATAAATAAAAAATGCAAAATAAAGTTTTGGAACACATGTCAACTTCACGTTTTTAAATAGATATTTCCTCTAATGAACATGTCTTTACCATTATAATAATTTTTCACCGTGCAATGCCAACATTGATTTTTTGGTACATTCTGTCCCACTGTGCACTGCGCCAAGGCTGCACACTTCAATATATCAATTACATATCAATTTGCTGAGCATATATTTTTAGATATTCGAAAAAAACTTAAGGTGGTTCCTCTATTTTCTTTTCTTTTATAGCAATAGCGAATTGTTTTTATATAAACTATTTTCTTTTATAGCAATAGCGAATTGTTTTTATATCAATTTTTTAATATTAGGAATAAATACGAATTTAAAAATTGTAATTTTATAACAAAATAGGCATTTTTTAAAGCTGAGTCTGCATTTTTTTACTATTTTATGAGCAAAATATAGAAGAAACTTAAAACGCAATTGTTTTACAACATGAAATTTGGTACAATGTGTTGAGTACTAAAATCTACTCAACGGTTTACTTTATATAATTTGAACATTTAGAAATAACTACTATGTGAGTTTCAATAATATATTAAATAGTAAGAAGAGTTGTAAGTTAGTAAGGTTAATATACAACTAGAAGAGAGCATGGCTTTAGACGCAATGCACTGCGGGAAATAGTTATAATCAATAGATTATTTGCGGGAAGCCAAATAGGCTTCAACACTCCCGGCCACCATTTACAAGTAAAGGAATATTCTTCTCGTTAATAAAGGCAACAGTTACTATTTTTTCATTGTCTGAATATTCAGTAGGATATAGTTTATTAATGGGTCGAGTAATTAAACACGAACTACCATTCTCTTGTTTGTAACAAACTTTAGCAACGCGAACAACTCCGTCGTTTGAATATAACAATTCTTCAACACGTGCTAATTTCCATAATTGTCTTATACAGTTATCACTTTCAATTAATACAATGTCATTAATACGAATACCATTACATCCATTACTTTGTTTCTATTTACGATATTCACGCAACTCTGTCAAGTACTCACTTTTGAATCTACTTCTAAAATGATTCAATCTATTAGATAACATACTGTTTCGTATATGCACATCTTGTTCTATATCGTTACAAGCACTAAGACTTGATTCAAGCTTAAGCTTATGTCCAAAAACTAATTGATTAGGTGTGAGTGCTTCATCACCTTGATTGTTATACAAATAAGTAAATGGTCTGTTATTTAGTACCATTTCAATTTCAGAAAGCAACGTTCGTACTTCTTCATAAGAAGACTTCGAATTTTTTAAGGCTTTCTTCAAACATCTTTTAGTCATTCGTAATAGTCGCTCAAACATCCCTCCCCACCACGGTGCCGAAGGCGCATTAAACTTCCATTTTATAGAATGGTTTGCAGCAAAGTACTGAGTCTCAGTTGAAACAAATTGTGAACCATTATCTGAATAAATAATTTCTGGAACACCCCGTCTTCCAATAAATCTACGGATACCCATAACGCATGATCTAGATGAACAGTCAGCTACTAAGTCTAATAAAATCGAACGACTACTGCAACATGTAAATAAGAAAATCCATGCTTTATTCAACGTACAGTCGCCATAAATATCTTTTATATACAGCGGACCAGCATAATCCAAAGCAATACATTTAAAAGCGAAATTGGAATTTAAACGACTTTCAGGCAAAGGAGGAGCAGGTGGGTATGAATAAGGCCTACCCTCTATACGTCGACAAGTTGTACATTCTCGTATCACGCTCTTTGCTAATTGCCTACAACAAGGTATCCAATACTGGGATCTTAAAGCATTAATTGTTTCTTTCACACCATTGTGCTTGACAAGCTTATGAAAATGTAAAATTAATAATTTAGCAAAATAACAGTTATTGAAAATAAAAATAGAAAATTTTGTATCGTATTCTAAATCAGCAAGTTCAATTCTGCCACGACATTGATATATACCATCGCTAACAAATAAACGTAAATCTTTTCGTAATTGTTTAAATTTATTCTCATCGATTAGATTTATCTGTGAAAATTTAATCCACAATCGCTTTGCATTATCTATTTCTTCAGCTGTAATTAAACCAGTTTTGGAGATGTTCTTCTTTTTATCTTTCGCATTATTGATAAACCGAAGAATCCACGATGTTACTTGAAGTAAATACCTAAAATCACTAAATTTATCAACATTAATAAAGTCAAGATTAACATTAACCTCAACATGTACCACATTACACAAAACTTCAAGTGTTTCATTTGAATGATTAACATGTTCATAATATGGCCATTTAATATTAATATCATTTAAAAAATTGAGTCCATAAAACCAAAGTTCATTATTATTTAATTTTTAAGGCGAAGATCCTCGTGATATTATATCTACAGGATTCCTAAAGGATTCAATATAGTTCCAATTACAAATTAAAGTCAATTCTCTTATTTTATTTAAACGATTTTGTACAAACTGTTCATAGGTATTATTAGTATTAAAAATCCAATGCAAACAAATTGTTGAATCAGTCCAATATACTATATTTGATATGTTATAAATAGATATCAATTGATCGTAAATAGATGCTAATAGCTTTGCTAAAAGTAGAGTTGCAGAAAGCTCTAATTGAGGCATTGTGTTCTTGCCTAATGGGGCAACCCTAGACTTCGAGGCTATTAAAGAGGCACGACTAAAATTAGCATTAATAAATCTAAGATAAACACAACACCCAAACGACTTAACACTTGCACCAGAAAAACCATGTAATTCAAATTTTACATTATTTATATCACCCAACCCAGGACTCATATACCATCGAGGTACTGCTATTTAAAAAACAGATTTGAAATCACTTAAAATAAGATTCCAAATAGACAATAAATCACCATACAAATTTTCATTCCAACCTAACTTAGAAACACAAATCCTTTGAAATAAATTTTTACAAGTTACAACTACTGGATTAATAAGACCTATTGGGTCATAAATACTGGTAATAAAACTCATCACTTCTCTCTTTGTTGGAACTATTGAGGCTACATTTAATAAATCCTCAAATGAATAATTTATTGAATCTTCTGTCTTATTCCACTTGAGGCCTAAAACTCATGTATTTGTTTGTCTCTCATAATTGTCACCGTTAATTTGTTTCTCAAAAGCTGAAGAGTTAGACTCAAACTTTCTTAAGTTAAAACCTCCTTCTTTTAATATGTCTTTACATTTATTAAAAAATAAAATACCTTCTTCAATGGTAACACAGCTAGAAATCAAATCGTCTATATGCAAGGATTGCAACAACTTTGAGGAAATATTATTATCATTAAGGCAATATCTCTCAGCATGATAAATAATGTGGCATTGAGGAGAAATGGAGACGAAGTAACACCAAAAGGCACTCTACATATACGATAAGTAGCCAATGCAGATGAAAACAAATTACTATTATTAATATTATAAATATCATCAAACCATATTAGACGCAAATAATTTCTGTCATTTTTATCAAGGGCAATTTGCATAAATGCTTTCTCTATGTCTGCAATAAAGGTATATTTATTAGCACGAAAACGTAATAATATAAAAAATAGAGGTGTAGCTAAACTTGGTCCAGCATTTATACAATCATTTAATGATGGACCTGATAGAGTGGAGCTTGCGTCAAAAACAACTCTCACTTTTGTTGTAGTTTTATCTTTACGATATACTGGGCGATGTGGCAAGTAATGCACCTCACCAATACTCGAATCATAATTATTTGCCTTCTCTATTACCCCTGAATTTAATTGCTCTATAATTATCTTATTGTATTCATTTAATAGCTCAGAATCATTTTTTTAATTTATTAAGAATTACATTCAGACGTTTTATACATAAACTATAGTTATCGCTCAATAATGCATGGTTATTTTTAAATGATAATTTAACTGTATATCTACACTCTTTATTATCAAAATAAATATTACTTTTAAAATAATCAAAAATATTACCTTCGACTCCTGAATTTTCTAGTTCCCAAAACTTTTTAATATTCTCATTAAATTGGGGAACTTCATTAATGAATTCCGTCTCAACTTTTAAAGTATGCGTGGAAAAGACACAGCAATCTTTTCCAGATGATGCATTTACATTTCCGCTTAATATATAACCAACTGATGGTTGTAAAGCAACAGGACCTGTATTGGCGCGAATTACCTTGCCATTAAAAAATGACTAATAATAATCCGCTCCAATAAGTACATCTACTTCCAATGATTTGCAATCTACATTACTATCAGCTAAATTGATTCCTTTTAAATGTTCAAAGGAATCGACAGCCTTCTCTATATACTGACCACTAAGAGGAGCACATATGGGCTTAACAAAACAAGTTATAGGTATTAAATAATTCTCTAAAGTCAGTATAGAAAGTTTAACCATCTCTAAGGTCTGGGTTTGGCTCTGATTGCCAAAAGTTTTAATATTTAATTGCTTTCTACCTAATGTGGGTAAAAAGAGCTTCTTCCGTAATGATGGGGAAATATAACTTAGCTGAGAACAACTGTCAAATAAAAGGCGACATCTTAGTGTCTTAACTTTATTTTTTACTGTAACCATAGCAGTTTGTAACAAAACATTCTTAGATTTCAATGCTTCTGTAGAAGCAACAGACCTTAACTTATTGTTTGATTCTTTACTATCATCAATATGAAAAGGAAACTTTTTAAAACACATAGAAACATGATGCTTCCCTGAGCACTCATAACAGCTTATTCTAGAACGACAATCTTTAGACATATGACCTGATTTGAGGCAATTAAAGCAACGCCTTTTATCTCTTAAAATATTTCTCCTTGAATTTATACTTGTTACAGTTTTACAATTTTCACTTTTATGACTTTTACTCCAAAAAATGCATTTTAATTCATATTGTGGCTTAAAGGAAGCACTAGAATGTAATACTTCTGCTGTTGAAGGATCAAGATTACATTTTCTACCTAAGTGAGCTTTTTCCCTAGCTTGCAATTCAGCTTTTAAAGATTTTAAAACATTTTATATCCTAATAATCACAGGAATCGAAGTTTCTAGCAATAACCAAATGTAACTCCTCTGGAATTTTTTGCATTATAATAGGAATCAATAAAGGTCCATACATAGTTGAATCTATATAGTTTTCTAAACTTCTAATTTGAACTTCGATATTATCATGAATACGTCTTAATAAAGAAATGTTGTTAATACTTTGCACTCTCTCTAGAGATAGAAGTGACTTAATGTGTCGAAATTAACAGTTGTTTATCATTAAATCTTTCCTTAAGTAATTCCAATGATGTATGATAGTTGTCATTTGTTAATGCTAAGCCTGAAATTGTTTTTAAAGCTTTCCCGTCAAGTAAATTTCTTAGATAGTTAAGCTTTTGTATTGGGGAAAGATCATTATTATTATGGATGGCACATTCAAAATTTTCATAAAAGGTCTGGCTTTCCACTAAAGGTACTTAATTTTAAAGGTGGAAGTTTAATGTTATTATTTGAAAAACGTTTTAAACTGCTAGATTGCGACTCGTTAATACTTTTATAAATATTATTATTAAATTTTTCAATTATTTTTATGTTCTTTTTGAAAAATAAAGAAAACTCATTAGCTAAATTTTCTTCATTTAACAATTCCACATCATCTTCAATTAAATTGATCGAATCATCATCAATTGCTTCAACTTTATTATATTTTTCGATCAAAACTTCCTTAAAACTAGATAATTCCTCAAAAGAGTTACTATCCTGGCTAAAATTAGTCATACACTCATTGGCCTTTTTAAATATATTTTTAATAGCAGTGACCGTAATGGTACGAACACGTCGTTTCCCAGCAATACTCGACATTATATAAAAACCCTATAAATGTTAACAACAAATAATGCTTACTTAAAGAAAACTATGGTCAATTCTGACACAAACACAAATAAATTACAAATATATATAATTTTTTAATGCTAATAAAAACACGTGCATCAAACAACCCCCCCCCCCCCCAAAAAAAAAAAAAAGGATTGACCCAAAAAACAAGTACAATATCAATTCAACTTTATCTTCTCACAAACTTTAATCTTTGTTCGAACTTGAGAATCAGCAACGAAATTTAATGACAGCTGGTAACTTTCAGAACAGCAACAACTTTAAAAACAGCTGATAACTTCAGGATCAACAGCAACTTAAACGATAGCTGATAACTTTAGGATCAGCAATAAACTTGAACGATAGCTGATAACTTTAGGATCAGCAACAAATATCTCCGTGGGCTCCAAATATTGAGTACTTAAATCTACTCAACGGTTTACTTTATATAATTTGAACACTAAGAAATAACTACTACGTGAGTTTCAATAATATATTAAATAGTAAGAAGAGTTGTAAGTTAGTAAGGTTAATATGCAACTAGAATAAGAGAGCTTTAGACGCAATGCACTGCGGGAAATAGTGTTTATCCGCGGGAAGCCAAATAGGCTTCAACACAATGGGACGTAATTGTTTTAAAAGATGAAATTTGGTACAATGATAAATTACATATATATAAAGGAAATGAGCGGAAAAAAAAATATAGATACAGGCTTAAAAACTCATAATGGCGGTCAACGTAAAAAAAATACACTTTTGAAACCCACTATATTAATATAAAATTGAAAAAAATTAAAATAAATAAAGAATCAGTAATTATTTTTTGCTCAGTTTCTAGGTATATGTTTGAAAAAGGTTTCCTGAAAATTTCAAGTGATTAAGTTTAATATTTATTAAAATATGAGGTTTGAAAAACTTAAAATTGCATGAAAATCATATTTCGCAATTTAAAAACTTAAATACAAAAAAAAAATAATACAAATTTAAAATCACACCAGATAAATAACTTTCCTTGGCTTTTTCTAGGTCAATATAACCTATTTTAGCAGTCCTTATTTTTTTTCTTTTGATTTTTCCTTTTTCGTTTGTCTTATTAGTGATCTTATCAATACATTCTTTATCTCTCTTAACAGATAATTGGTCAAAACAGTAACCGTTTGAAATTCCAAAATATTTAAAACAGAACTCACACCAAAACTACCATCATTAAAGTCTAATACAGCTGAATTTGCTCCCATTTTTAACACTGATCTCCCAAGGTAAATATTTTTTGGACATTTATTCCATATGATATTATTAAAAGCAGGACAACAAAAAAGAGTCCAAAAAGTCTTTTAGTAGAGAAAAATTTATAATAAAATTATAATTATCTGAATCTACATTCCTTCCTTTATCTAAAGATTCATCCACTAACTTTTTTTTTTTGATTTTTCGACTACGTAAGTTATCAGGAAAATTTTCAAACTGCTGATTGCCAACACAGAAAATCTTTTTAAGTTTCGTTGCTTTAACTCTATTTTTTCGATTGCCCATTATATAGATGCACTCAAAATACACTCAGTTAAAATTATTGTTGAAACTGTTATTATATAGAAACAATGTTTATTAAAAATAAAATAAAAAACATTGATAAAGCATAACAAACATAGCATTTGCAAACAGGCAAAATATATTTCTGTCAACCACACTAACATCGCTTTCGTTAACTTTTTTCTGTTCCATTACTTAATTCCGTGCACATTTGAGTAACTTACAGAACATAAAGTGCTTTCTAGAATCAGAGTAAAAAAACAAAACAAAAAAACACTTATTTTTGTCAACTTGTCAAATATTTACACAGACAAAATGTGTTGCTAAGGCGTTGTTATGGACATTTTTAATGTACTCATATTCTAAAACCCTAATTTTTCATCTTTATACTTTAAAAGACCCATCAAATAAAATATCATTGGAAAGAGTATAGAATGGCATTTAAAAAATATATATATTCACAATTTTGATTTTTTTTCAAAATCATGTTTTTTTTTCTAGGGAAACCACCTTAAAATTATTGGGCAAAATGATTTACCCTTCATACAGCTTGGCGCTTATAAAAACACACGAACTTTCCCCCTAGTATACCTAACTTTGAAATTTTATACTTTATCATACTTTTGTGTATGCTATGTTTTATTTGATTAATACCAAAAAAACTGTTAAACACCACAACTTTTTCTACCAAAAAATAAAATAACAATTGTACTGAGTCACGTAACCTTATCATAAATTGATGTTACAAAGATTTTTAGTTAGACTACAAAAAATAAAACAAAACAAAAAAAAGACACTGAGACAAAACCAAAATAATTTAGATGTAATTTCATAGAAAAACACAAAGGGAACCAACTGAACATAATTAATGTAAATGAGTGCGGCAGTTCCTAGATACATGATGTCCGTTTAAGAAAAAAAAGTTCTTTATAAAACCATCTTGAGCTTTATGCCAAGGGTCAGATGCATAAACTTTTACATTTTCAAATCTTTCAGCGCGATGATTTTGTTCAGAAAACACTTTTTCTCCATTTAATTTTACAGAGTAAACATAAACACCACATTCAAGCTGCTGACTGACCTCAATATTGGTCCACTGATAAAGAGCAAGTGGGTAGGTTTCAAAGGAATGATTTGGATCACAATTTAGAGGAGTTGCAATATAAAGTTGACCACTTCCGTTTTCATGAAACCACACACCAGGTATTCTGTCACCAACATTTCCAATATTTGATCCGACAGTGAAATGAATCACATTAGCCCATTCGTTGGCAAATGAGTTGGGTTTCACATCAAATGAAAAAAGAAATTCTTTATCAAGCTTTGGAATGACAGCAACAAGTTCTCCTTTAACTATTGGTTTTTCAATGTTTTCTAGTATTTGCTCTAAAATATAAACGCAGCATTTTAAGTTTTAGTTTAAAAGTATAAAAAAAATTATATAAAAAAGTATACATAAAAATAGCATATATATATATATATATATATATATATATATATATATTATTTAAAAAATAACATATATATATATGTTATTATATATATATATATATATATATATATATATATATATATATATATATATATATATATATATATATATATATATATATATATATATATATATATATATATGTTTTTTTTTACAACATTTTTACTTCCAACAAGGCAGAAAGCAACCACTATTAGAGTTGGAAGTTACTGGAGGAGAAAAGATGAAGTTTATAGAGCAAGATAACTATTAACAGACAACTTAAAATATTGAAAATTATGAAGTAAATATATATATATATATATATATATATATATATATATATATATATATATATATATATATATATATATATATATATATATATATATATATATATATATATATATATATATATATATATATACATATATATACACATTTTTTTACAAAACAAAATTTTTTACAATACAAAACAACATTTTTTTACAAATGTTACAAATTTACAAATCTGTCAACATGGATCAAAAATAAAGAAAAATTTTTTGAATGTATGAAGATGCAAGGGAATAAATCTAAACGTATGAGAATTAAAGAAGGAACATTTTCAAATTTAGATAATGTTGTTTTTAAAAGGCTTTTAAATGTAAGGAGCAGAAATGTGGCAGTTTCAGCAACAAATCTTAAAACAAAAGCCAGAGAACTTGCTGAAAAATTAATATAAATGAATTTCAAGTGTCTGATGGTTGGCTTGATTGTTGGAAAAACAGGTATAATGTTTCTTTCAAGACGGTATGTGGAGAGGGTAACACTTGTACAGCTGAAATGACCACGCCATGGAAGGAAACAACTCTCCTCACAATTTTATCCAGGTAAACTTGATGAAATTTATAATGCAGATGAATTTGGATGGTTTTTTCGTATACAACCTAATAAGTCACTTAATCTTCAATCTGAAACATGTATGTAAAAATTCGTTTTACAGGAATGGTCGTAGCAAGTACAGCGGGTGAAAAAATTCCTATGTTTGTAATAGGAAAATCAAAATCACCTTGCTGCTTTAAAGGAATTAAGCACTTACCTTGCAGATACAGAAATCAAAATAAAAGCTGGATGGATAGCGTACAATTTGAAAAGTGGATACGAGAAATGGATACAAAGTTTACAAAAGAAAAGAAGAAAGTAGCATTTATAATAGATAACTGCCCAGCACAACCGACGGTTTATAATCTTAATACTATTGAGCTCATTTTTTTACCACCGAATACCACATCTAAACTTCAACGGATCAGAAAGTTATACGCTCTTTGAAAGTTTATTACAGATCTTTGGCATTGCAAAGACTGGTCGTGGCTGTTGATAAAAAAAAAAGATCTTCCTGTTTTCTCAATTTTAGTTGCAATGAAAATGCTTGATCTTGCATGGCAAAAAGTGAAAACCTCCGCCATCATTAATTGTTTTAGAAAAGCAGGAATTTCTGAAGATCAGCAGAAATCTGCACATTCGGATGAAGACAACGACCTCTTTAGAGAGGTTCATAATCAGATATAAAATCTTGATAATTTTTACCCTCCACGTACAACAGCTGAAGATGTTGTTTTTGCAGAAGAAAGCTTAATTAGCACAGAACCTTTACTTACAGATGAACAGTTGGTAGAAGAAGTTAAAAATGCAGCCAATGAACATGATGATAATGACGAGGAAGATAATGATGATGCCTTTCAGTCTTATGGGTGAAGATTTGCAACAAAAGCTCAATGCTGTCTCAATTATATTCGATAAAGACGTATCTTTAAAACTAAAACAGAGTGACAGAACATTTTTCAATTTACAATGTATATATATATATATATACATATATATATACATATATATATATATATATATATATATATATATATATATATATATATATATATATATATATATATATATATATATATATATATATATATATATATATATATATATATATATATATATATATATATATATATATATATATATATATATATATATATATATATATATATATATATATATATATATAATTGTTTCATATTTTGTGTGAAATGTTTGTGTGAAATGTTTAAATATGTTTTAGACCACTTTCATTTTTTCAAAAAATCCCAGAGAATTCTTCTCTAAAATTTAAGTTTGTAGTTCTATATTATAAACTTATTTCACACAAAATATGAAACAATTACAAACTTTTTAATGTCAAACTTCATAAAAAACTCTTATTATCCTCCTTAATAGGTCCTACTTTTGCCTAAATCACAGCAAATATTCGCCAGGGAATAGATTTATACAAATTAGTTATAAAATCCTGGGGTATGTTGTGCCACTCTCTTTGAAGTACTTCAAAACATTCTTCAGCATTTCCACCTTCTTTCTGTCCAGGTAATCCCAAATTTGCTCACTTATATTCAAATCTGGACTCTAGGGAGGCCAGATCATCAATTCCAGTATTCCTTCATCTGCCATTTCATTTAAATAATTTTTTACCACTCAGGAACAATGTTTTGGGTCTGCAGATTAAAATTATGACCTATTAGTCTCATTCTGGATAATACCGCATGGTGCCTTTCGAATTGCAGCAAACCCTCTTAACCCCATTTTGAGAAGAAGTCATCAAATACAAAAAAAGCTGACATTTTTCCCAGTTGCTGTGTTAATGTGTTAATTGATGCTTTTTTTTATTTCCTAAAGAAAGGGTTTTTAAATATTTATTGTCATCTTTTGTTAGCTTAGGAGGTCTACCATCTTCAAGGGAACCAGTTTCTCTAAGCTTTTTAATGATTTCTGCAACAGCAGTCTTCGAATATCCTGTTTTGGATGTAGTTATTATGACACATTGTTTTAATAAATAAACAAACAAATCAACCCTCATGTTCCCTCATCAATTTTGTTTATTTATTCAAAATAATACATTCATTCAACTTATATATTATTAAACTTAAGTACGCTTTAAAAAAATTACATAGGAAAAAAGCTGTAAATACGTCTAATTATACAAGTGGTCTAAAATGTATTCACAGTGCTATATATATATATATATATATATATATATATATATATATATATATATATATATATATATATATATATAGCACTGTGAATATATATATATATATATATATATATATATATATATATATATATATATATATATATATATATATATATATATATATATATATATATATATATATATATATATATATATATATATATATATATATATATATATATATATATATATATATATATATATATATATATATATATATATATATATATATATACATATATATATAATAGAAGACTACAGAGAAATATACAGACAACTACATAACTGTACTAACTAAATACTACAACTAAACAACTGTAACTAACTAAATACTACAGACAAGAAATATAAACACAAAAAATCAATAAAAATGATTACAAAAAAAACTTGGTAGGTAACCAATCAATATAATCAAAATAAATAAAATGTCATTTTAATGAAATAGATAAGTTAATGGTATAATAAGAAATTTGTTTGTTAAGTGAAGGATAATAATAACAATAATAATAGTAATAATAAAAATAGTTACCTTTTAATAGAGCGGTGGCATTTGCAAAAGAAGAGTTATCTAAATTAAAGAGTTATCTAAGTTAAATAAATTATTATATTAATTATTTTTTTAAATTTAAAACTTATAATATCCTTTTTCATATTCATATTAATTCATATTTACAATTTTTCTTGCTGACAAAAGAAAAATTGTTAAAAAAATGAGTTAATTAAATATAGATTATGATAAAAAATTTTTAGAATACTCTCAGATGCTTAATACACAGGAGGGGACGTTTATTAGTTTTCTGAATTTTTCCCACCCACCCCAAGCTTATGAAAACCCTTCTTCCCATCATTATTAATTTTTACTTTGTGTTAATAAGAAAACATCTCAAAATTAAAAACCATTGACCTTAAAAAATCTCGAAAAAATCAATTTGTCAAAAATTAGGTTTCTGTTTATTTCACCATTGTATAAAACTTATATAAGCATGTTAAATTTTATTAAAATGATGATAAAACAGTTGTTAAAAAAAGGAACATTTGACCATAAGCCACATGTCGAAAAACAGGGCTGACAACGCGAAAGAGGGAGGAGGGGAAGGAGCACATTCCAAAAGGAAAGGGGGCACGTGTCCCCTTTCCCGACTTTTTTTCTAAAGACCCTTTTCTTTTTTCTTTCTTTTTTTTAAGAAAACTTCTAGAGGACTTTTTTTTAGAAATAGATGGTTGTGCACCTCTACTTCGAAACTTGTGAATAAGCCAGTTTTACTTTCAATTCTTTCAATTTTTTTTTTTTTTAATTCAAATTATTTTTTATTAAATTATAAGGGAGTTTTATTTTAAAATAACTTTATTCTAGATAATAAGATATATAATAATTAGATATATCAAAGACGCTTATTGAATTTTATAAATTTTTATTAATTGAAAACAATTCTTCGCGCATTTGCAAAGTGCGCGCAAATTGATGATAACTAATATAAAATATGACTGTAAATTGTTATCCATTAAGACAAAATAGTGAATTTTTCTTAATTTAGTTTGTTAAACTTATTCACTTATAAAAAAACTTGAAGAAATTTAAATAAAAGGGAACTAAAAATAAAAGCTGTTTTGATTTTTCTTATTTAAAACATTTAAAAATAATAATATAATGATAAGTATTTAATAAGTTATTACATTAAGTTGTTAATAAATATATTAATAAAATCATATTATTATATTTATAATATTAAGTATTTATTAAAATAATATCATATTATTAGTGTTGTTAAACCCACAGTAAAAAATGAAAACTATAATAAACATAATATGTCTATATATTATCTATATTTATTATCTATATTTATGCAAATCGTAAAAAAAAAATTTCCAAACTTTAAAAAGGGCCAGCAAACATTACTTCAACTTAACAACAATAATAAAACTTAAAAAAAAACACACACTTTTGTAAAAAGCGATGTTCTAGCATGGCTTCTTTAAAAGTAATTGCTAATGCATTCATTTTAACTAAAATTTCCCATGCTTTTGTAAACGCATGTAAAAACCATGTTAAAACATAATTACTTTCCTCAGTTTGTACTAAATCATAATTACTTTCTTCAGCTTGTACTTAATGTACTTTTCTTCCGTTGCTTACTTAATAAACTTAATAGTAACGCTATTGAAGAAAGTATTAGTATTGTTTCTTTAAAAGTCGTTGAAAATGCGTATTAAATTTTAGTAACTTAATGTTTTTTTTACAATAAATATGTTTTTTTTAATAATAAATAAAAAAAAACTGTTAATCACATAACTATTTGGAAAAAAAATTACTGAAGTTATGCGTTCGTTTTTATAATAATTTTAAGTGAATGCCAATGTTTGCTAAAAGTAAAAATGAGGAAACATGACGTCTGTTTTTCTGTCTTTTTTTTAACAAATGTTTGCACGTTCGTCGATTTGTCGCGCCCTGCAGCTATGTTAGTATCCATGTTAGCTATGTTACCTGTGTAATTATCCATTTAGCTATGTTAGTAAGTATTTTACCTGTGTAAGTATCTATGTTTGCTATGTTAGTAAGTATGTTACCTGTGTATATATACTTTAACTTGTAGTTAACTTAAAAAAACACTACAAAGAGTTTTTTTTTCCTTGCATTTTATAAATAGTTGGGTTTTTTTAGAGAAGGTTAGTTTTTAACATAAATCATTTTCTATAAATAGTTGGGTTTTTTTGGAAAAGGTTAGTTTTTAATATAACTTTTTTTTTATGTTGAATTCTTTTTTTTTATTTTTACTACTAAACAAAAAGAGATAATGTAATCTTTGTGTCAATGATCTGAAAGTTTTTTATTTCAAAAATAATACAACTTACGAAGTTGTCCGTTTAGGATATAAAGGTTTTTTATGAAGCCATTATGAATTGCATGCCACGGATCAGATACATAAACTTTAACATTTTCAAAGCTTTGAGGTTGATGGTTAGGCTCCGAAAAGAAAACTTCCCCATTAAGTTTAACTGTATATAAATATGTATCTTCTTCACGATGTTGACTTATCTCAATACTTGTCCAATGATTTAAAGGTAATGGAGAGGTAACTAAAGAATGATTAGGATCGCCATTAACTGGAGTTGCAATATAAAGACTGCCATCACCACACTCATGAAACCAGACTCCTGGTACTCTGTCACCTAGGTTTCCACAGTTTGATCCAGTAGTTAAATGAATTATATTTGTCCATTCAGGAACATAAGACAATGGTTTAACATCAAAAGAAAGAATAAATTCTTTATCAAGTCTTGGAATAACAGCAGCTAACAATCCTTTTGAACATAATACTTCATTATCATGAAGAATTTGTTCTAAAATAAAAATGGTTACTATTTCAACATTTGTGATAAATTTCCTTAAAAAAAAGGAGTAAAAAACAGATGATAAAAAAATTTCAGCTATTGAATCTTAATATTTAAAGATAATATCTTTTCATAATAGTCTGAATTTCATAATATTTAGTCAAATATTATTATGAAATTCCTTGTAATGAAAATATTGGTCACAGTAATTTAAAAGAAGTAACTAAAATAAAACAAAACCTCTCTGTAAAATTGCAGCATGTTGTGATGATGAACTACCTATAAACAATATAAATTTTTTAATTTTTCTAACTTATATGCATTGCAAGCATCGTCATTACTAGCATTACCCAGCGGGCACAGACGTCAATCAAACGTCTTACAGACATCTTATCTAGGTCCCGACGTCTCAGACCAAATTAGGACGTCCTAAAGACATCCGGTAAAGACGTCTTTGTTAGGACGACCTTGTGACGTTAATATAAAGACGATATTAGGACTTCCATATTTAGACGTCCTATTGACGTCGCTAAGACCTACATTAGACGTCCTATTGACGTCGCTAATTACCTACATTAGACGTCCTAATTACCTTAGAAATAAGTATAAAAATTAATATTATCAACTTGGCGCATACAATATTATGCGCTAACTCGGTTAATTAAATATGTCTACTTGTTAGGTTGATTATTTGAGATTATTAATTTTGTTTAGTTATTTATCGTTTAAAGATATTTTTTTTAATTTTCTGTATTCTATACTCAATGATCTAAAAACTATAATCGATACAATATTTAAAGAAAAGAAAATTGAGTTTAGTTATTAAGTGTAACTAAGTTACAAGTATAATGAGGGAGTTTTAACAAAAGACATCAAAATTGCACCAAGACTTTTCACATTGTGTTTTATAGAATAGTAATAATATTTTGTATGTCTGTGTTATAAATTTGTGTGTCTGTTTTATAAAATTTAACGAAACAACACAGGAACAACAAAATATATACAATTTATTTATTCATTTACCTATTTCTACAGATATTACATCTATTAAATTCTACCTATTTCTAAGATATTACAAAATGTATATATATATATATATATATATATATATATATATATATATATATATATATATATATATATATATATATATATATATATATATATATGAGTGTGTATATGTGTGTGTGTGTGTGAGCGCGCGTTTGGGTATAGGTAGCGATTCTTTACAGTTTTTTGCGTTAGACAAAAACCCTATAAATTTTTTAAACTTTACTTGTTTATATATTCTTTTAAGGTTAAGCATGAAACTTGAGATTTTTTGCATTATTCAGTTTAAATCTAACTCTTCTCAACCATATATAGGAAGTACTATTTACTACTTTATATACTATTTATATGGCTTTACTTATATTTTTTATTTTTCAATGTTTCAGAAAAAATTTATATTTCAACTTGCTGAATTAAAAAAAAATTTTAGTAGATAGAACTGCGCTGTTCTCTAATAATCCAGAAGAAGGTTTTAAACAACGTAAAAGTTCAGATAAACTTAATGTTTTGAAAAAAAAAATTCGCAAATGAAGATATCCAATATATCACTTTTGTATACATGAGTTTCATCTTTAAAGTTTGTATGTTATATATTACTCAAAAATTTATTTTAAATTGTCATAAACATTTTCAATGTTTCTTATACATTGTTTCTTTTTAGATAAAACAGTTATCATTAATTGGCTATAAAAATCTAGCTGATACAATTAAAAATATTTTGCTCTTGTAAGTAATTAGCAAAAGTTTAAATTTTAACATTTATGATTGACAGTAGAGCATTTATCTTCTTTTTTATATATGTAGACTGCCAACAGACACTATTTTGTCAGAATACAGCATGAATTGTCTAAAGAAGAAAAAAAAGTTTAAAGAGTTGACAAGTATATGTAACTCTGTCACTGGTAGTCTTATTAGCTTATTAATGTGTTTAATTAATTAAAAATTAAAAATGATGGTTTAATTAAAAAAAAAAAACAATAATAATTTTTTTGTCTCTGGAACATGACATGTATTCAAGTGTATGTATGACATATATATTTTATTTTATAATCTTATTGAAACATGTTTTGTTGTTTTTATTAGAAGCTTCTTTAAAGTCAAATAATAACTTAACCAAAATGGATGCTATCCAACTTATTGGGAGAGTAACTAGGCATTTTTCTGACCGAATAAAGAAAACATCGACTAACATGGATTTCGATCCATGTTGGCTTAATTAACTGTTGAATTTTTTTTTTTTTTCATTTTTAAGCAATTTTCTTCTATTTATAATGCACTATCGATTATATTCTACAGTATCTATTATTTTTTAATTTGAAAAATGGAACTTTGTTTGAAAAATTATTCTTATTTTTTCTAAAGTTGTTAATTTATTTTAAATATATCAAATTACACTTTATTTAGATTGATTACATTGATAAGCAGCCGTGGCGCAGTGGTTAGAGTTCTGGCTCAGAACCCAGAGGTCCGAGGTTCGACGCCAGCTCTAGCCCAACAAGCGACATTGGTACGGAAGGAGGCGTGAACTTCCTGTTAAATGCTCTCCCGCGATGCTCTATGATAAGACCGTAAGGACTTCTGAGAGCACCTAAATACATACAAAAAAAAAAAAAAAAAACTCTTTTTATAACTTCCCTTGCCTAGATTAAGGCAAATCTAAAGTGTGTGTTGTAAATCATTGCATTTTTATATAACTTTTAAAAGAATGTCTTGGTAAAATTCAAACATCTCTAGGACGTCTGAAAAAGACGTCCTTAAGTCTTTCATATGAGACCAGCCAGAGACGTCTCTAGAATGTCTGCAAAAAACGTCTCTAGGACGTCTGGAATAGACTTCTTCAAGCCTTTCATTTGAGACCAACTAAGGATGTCTTACGGACGAGACTTAAGACGTCTTACGGACGTCTTTAAGACGTCAAAATGCCCGCTGGGTAGGCATTAATTAAATAAAAAGTATTGAACTTCCACAGATGAAAAAATTCCCCATAAAACATTAGATTAACAGACCCTTATTAATTTTTAACAATCTAATTCACTGCAAACATCAAAAAAATAAATAGAACTTACGTCGCTGTCTATTAATGATATACAAGTTTTTTATTGAGCCATTTTGAGCATTATGCCAAGGATCAGAAGCAAAGACTTTTACATTTTTAAAACTTTTAGCGTGTTCGTTCTGTTCATTGAATACTATCTCTCCATTAAGTTTTACAGTGTAAAGATAAATATCCTCTTGATGATGCTGACTTATTTCAACAGTTGTCCATTGATTTAAAGGTAATGGATATGTTTCAAAGGCATGATTAGGATCATCATTAAGAGGGGTTGCAATATAAAGACTTCCACTACCATTTTCATGAAACCACACTCCAGGTATTCTGTCACCTACATTTCCAATGTTTGAACCATTAGTAAAATGAATTATATTTGACCATTCTGATGACAAGAAATGAGGTTTCACATCAAAAGATAATAGAAATTCTTTGTTGAGTTTAGGAATTACAGCAACTAACTTTCCTTGAACCAATGATGTTTCAACATCACAAATAATTTGTTCTAAAAAACAAATAAAAATATAAATAACCTATAAATAATAATAAGTTATTTATAAAAAAAATTATAAACAAATTTGAAAAAACCTTCTATAAGTTGTAACAGTAGTCAAAAAAAGTCGTAAAAAAAAAAAAAAAAAGTAAAAATGAAAAAACTAATAACACTGGGCAACAGTGATATTACATATTTTGTTTAGGAACCAAATTTAATTATTTCTTACGTATTTACACTAAATTCGAAAATGACACTAAATATCACATTTTAGCTTAAGGAAATAAAGCAAAAACTTTTTTTTAAGGATATGAATGCTTGTAATTCTTGCTTGGTTTCACTGAGAATGGTTTAAAAATAAAAAAAGATCTTTAGTTTTTGCTGTTTCTATTGTATCGAGTTTCTACTTGATCCCATATGTGGTGATGTAAATGTCATTCATATACTTTTAATAATGCAAATGGCCCAACAAAATATTTGGCTACAAATATGTTAACTTATGAAGAATCAACTTATGAAGAATTATTTGATAAAGTTTTAAAGTATTTAATTAGGCTTCTTGACTGGTGGCCCCTAAGACATTGGGTAGGTGAATACATTAAAAAAATTAAAATAAATAAAAAAAAAAGCAACCTCTGTGAAGCATTGTTGATTTTGATGAATGTTTATCTAAACAAAAAATAAGATTTAACAAACACATAAAATAAAAACAACAATCAAAATTATTAAACTTATATGATTGTTATAAATGTATATTATTATAAATCAATTAGAGCGATTTTTATGTACACACTTGAACTGACCATTAGGGAAAACATGCAGCAAAGTATGCATACGTTGACTGACTAAAAAAGGAGAACATGCAAAAGTTGTAAATATATTAATTGATGGTAAAAGTTTTGGCAGACAGATTTTTTTGTATTTGACTTTTTATTTATGACTATATTATGTTCATTGCTGATTACGCAGAACTGACAAAAAAAGCTGTTAATTACACAAATTCAGCATGGCATATATATACATATATTGTGATTTGATAAGAAAATTTTCAAAAATCAATTGAAATAATATTACTTATCTATAAATACCTTTTTAATCAGTCATTAAAAATGGTAACCAGAGCAAGAAGCGTCAATAAAGAAATAATATAATTTTTTTATTTTATTTTATTTTTATATATATATATATATATATGTTGGACTTTTTGAAAACAAACAATAACTTACGTGATGCTCCATTTATGGTATAAAAATTTCTTATAAGACCCTGTTGAGGTAAATGCCATGGATCAGAAGAAAAGACTTTAACATTTTTAAAACTTCTTGGAACAGCATTTTCTTGTAAAAAAACAGTTTCTCCATTTAGTTTTCCACAATACATATAACAATCTCCATCACGAAACTGACTTATTTCTACATTAGTCCATTGATTTAAAGGAAGTGGATAAGTTTCAAAAGCATGATTAGGATCACCATTGAGAGGAGTTGCTATGTAGAGACTTCCACTACCATTTTCATGAAACCATACTCCAGGTATTCTGTCACCCACATTCCCAATGTTTGAACCATTAGTAAAATGAATTACATTTAACCATTCTGTTCCATACGAAAGAGGTTTCACATCAAAAGATATTATAAATTCCTTTTTAAGTTTTCGTATGACTGAAATTAATTTTCCTTGTACTAATGGAGTTTCAATATCATAAATAAAATGCTCTAAAATAGTATAAGTATAAATATTTTAAGTTTAGTAAAGTATAAAACTAAAATTATGTATTAAAAATAATTGTTAAAAAAAGTAATAGTATTTAGTGGTATTGCAATACTTGTTATACTATTTATAATAACGTTAATTTTTCAACTTTTAACTGAGCGCTAAAATAAGGCAATCTTGATTGATTAAAATAAGAGCTTACATTGTTATGTGTGTATATGATTACAAGTAAAAAATTTTTAAAAACAAACCTCTTGCATGACATGTAGAGCTTGCAGAAACTTCTATAAAAAAGGGTATATCGATTTAAACAAAAACTTATATAAGTATATATATATATATATATATATATATATATATATATATATATATATATATATATATATATATATATATATATATATACACGGCCGGCGCGATAGGGGGGTATGGGGGGTATGATACCCCCCAATCAATGATTTTTAGTCGGCAAACTGGACCCTTAGTCCACCCTTTTAGACTAGTTAGTCGGCAAATGTCGACCCTTTCGATATAGGTTAGACAGTCGGCAAATGTCGTCATGGCAGTTGGCAAATTTTGGAAAACGAGGACTTTTTTTTTTTAGTCGGCAAAAGTTGTAATCGCACCCCCCCCCACGTGACACCTACTCGCGCCGGCCCTGTATATACATATTGAAATAATAAAATACAATTAAAATTGTAACATGGTTTAAATTATTTTGGTTTAACAGAGCACACCTTTAAAGATCGCTGGTACAAGCATAAAAACTCCTTTCAATACGAAGTAAAGCTAATGCCACAGAACTTTCTAAATATATCTATGAAATGAAAAAAAAGGAATTTTCAAATCCTATTATTTCGTGCAAGAGTATTGATAGGGCGGAACCTTTTAAACCTGGAAGAAAGTTATGTAACCTTTGTTTAACGGAAAAATACCATATCATTACATCATCTTTGAAACTATTAAATAAACGAAATGAATTAATATCAAAATGTTGCCACGAAAACAAATTTCTTATCTGCAACTTTAACGTCATCTACGTTAACACTGTATTGTATTTTTGTATATAATTTTTGTTGTTATTATTATTGTTTGTAACGTCTGATAATCGCATAAAGCGTGAAACTCTGAGTTATGTTACAAGTTTAATTGTATTTTATTATAATTTAATATAATATAATATATTTACTCTACTTTTGTATTGAGCACTGTATACCGAAAAATTACTCGTAATACTGGTATATATATATATATATATATATATATATATATATATATATATATATATATACACACACACACACACACACACACACACACACACACACACACACACACACACACACACACACACACACACACACACACACACACACACACACACACACACACACACACTCATATTAGAGCATACTAAAGTCATCATTCTGAAATAGGAAGCTTATATAAGCAGAACATATTGGGGAAATGATATTTATTTCATAATTCCTTTTTCTTCTTATTTTTATGACAAAATAAAACTGTATGGATTTAGATCAACAAAAAAATGCAAATGCGTATCTATATCTTTTGTAGTATAAATATATACATCAATAATTGCCATCATTATAATTACCATCATCATCATATATTCATATTCTTTCCTTAACTTTATATCTGAGATTATAGTTTTTTTCTTGTCTTGTTAGAGTCATGCCACGCATCGATCTGATTATCATCTTCACTTTTGGCAAATATAAATACAAAAGTTTATAAAAATATGCCAGCATCTAAATAAATAGCAAACATATATGTTTATATCTATATATATGTGTATGTATGCATAAATGTGTCTTACCTAACCTCCTGGATCCAAAAAAATATGAAAACTAATATTTCTTCTTGTCAGTTTTAGTTTAAGACTCATTCTACTCCACTATTTTCACCTTCTTGTGCAGTTGCTATATTATACTGCAATCATTTTTTTTATCTTTTTAACAAGAATATCTCTATTAAGAACAAATATCTTTTTATAATGTCTATGTTATTTACAGGACTATTTAAGGTCCTTATGATGCTAAGCTCCATTATTTCCAATTTAAGATATCTTGCATCTTTCAGATGTTAGGTTCATAAGTTTTATTTTAATTCTAATTCATGGGTCTATTTTATTACTTTTTCTCAGAATAAGGCAGTGTTGTTAGCATAAAACTTTTCCTCTAATTTGACTTTTGAATCAAATTCCCAAACTAATCCAGCCATTCTGTTAAACAGATTATTCTGTTGTTAGACATTCAAATCACTCTGGCTTCGATGCTAAAATCAACTCTCAATTTTAAACTTCTATGGCTTTTGATTCAGACAACATTTCCATCATAGTCTTAATCAAAAGTGTTTTCTAGCACTTTCTTTAATCCTTGCTAAACTATTATTAAGTGCTAAATAAGTGGTTCCAATTTAAAAACTCTAGAAAATACTCTTACCTCTCCAACTATCCTTTTTTCTAGTATTCGTTTCTTCATATAAAAGTTTTAAGATTTATGAATTATTTCTTACTATCCGCAGTATTAAGTTCATTCTTGAAGACCTGCACTCTTTTTTATTTTCAATAACTTTAAGAGTACCTAAGGTTTTATCTTTGCTCCTGTGTGTTTCTTATCAACAATGACAATCTTCCTGGGAAATTGCGTCAAAAGATACTAAAAGATGTCTTCACTTTTTAATTGATCAGAACAAGCAGCTAATCTTTATTCTAATATAACAACCTGGGGCATGCATTGACATGTGGATTAAAACTCCAACAAAGCTCAATTATTTATTACAAACAACTATTGCCAATTATTGATCAAAAGAAATTTGGACAGTTTTGGTATTTTAAATACCAAAACTGTCCAAATTTTACTGCATACTGTAAATTGTGCATAAAAGTTAATTAAAAAACTTAACTATACAATGAGAGGCTTTACTAACTAAAGACACAATTAGCTGTGTCTCTAGTTACTCTCTAAAATGTCAATACTATTGCAATAGTACAACACATGTCTATTATCATCAGGAAATTCAATGGCCCCATAACAACATCTTTAGGAAGATGTAATCACCTGGTAATTTTTCTCCAAGTCCAATAACATCTGGAAAAATTTCCTCCTACATCTGCAAAAAACTATATATGAAACTAATCTGGTTATAAAAAGAGATTTTGTTGCTAAATTTTTAGAAGTGGTTCTCGACAATAATATTACATGGAAACCGCATATTGACTATATTTTCTCGAAAATATCTAAAAAAAACGTGTAATCTAAAAGTCTTACATGAATGCAGATCATATTTAAACAAAAAAGCTTTAATCCAACTTAATTACTTATTTATTCACGCGTATCTATATATAGTCATAAGAATAATTTATATATTTTTTATATTTAATTTTTAATTTTTATATTTAATAAAAGAATATATTTCTTGTGACTATGATCTATACAAATTACGCCGCAACAAGTTCCAATTAGGAGTTAACCGCATTGGAAATTTTGAATTCCGACCAGAACCGGATTTGCCGGAATTGTTAATAAAATTTCCGGCCAGAATGAGAATTATACTTTTGTAATTTTTTACATTCAATACTTTTTGAATGTAAAAAGTTACAAAATTTTTACGCGTTCTTTTACGGTTCTTTTACACGGCGATTTTGATTAAATTTAATGCTTTTGTTTTAAATTCATACTCTGCGTAAGAAAACTTTTAATCCTTTTTGTTTTGTCTATTGTGGAAGTTTACATTACGTAATTTATGGACAATGTCTAAGTCGAGTTAAGAAAAGCGCAAAAGATTTTTATCAACTTGATACCCCTCACGTTTGGGGTGGTAGAGGGGTATCAAGTTGATAAAAATCTTTTCAAGTATCAAGTATCAAGAGGGGGCTGAAGTCAAAGGGCTTTTTCGTTTATAGCCTCAAATCATCGCAATTTTTTTCAAAGCCTCATTATTTGACATAAGTATAAACATACAAATGTTTGGAGATTCCTCCATGTCTGGAAGTTAGCAAACGCCAAAAAATCCTGCAAATCTATCACTGCAGTAATTTACTGCAAATAAAATTACATTGTGTTTGTGAAAAATTTTTTTAATTTCACCTAGGTTTACCTTTAGTTCTTCATTCCAGTGTAGGACAATGATTTTTAAATTTATTTAAGTAATAAATTCCGGCAATCCGGCCTGAAATATTGTAATTTCGGCCGAAACCGGAATGACGTAAAATCAGTTACAATGCCTTTGACGTAAAATCAGTTACAATTAATCAAGCTTTTGACTGCCTGACAGCAGTAAGAAACTTGATTAATTTTACGAATTGTTTTACTCATTCCAAACCATTTTTTATGGAGATGAAAATACTTAATATTTAAGAGCTCAAATTTTATAACATTCTATGCTTTATTTACATGTGGAAAAACGATTCAACTTTACCTATATTTAAAGACCTTTTTTCTCTAAAACCAATTAACAAATATATACTAGAAATAAAACTTTTGTATATGAACCAATTTAAAGAACTAAGTTTGAAAAAAAATTTATTACATTTGGAGCACCAAATCTTTGGAATAAAATTGTTACACCTAATTTTGATATATCCAATACTTTTCCGATCTTTAAAAATAAACTTAAAAACTTTATTCTATCTATTGATGATATATTTAAATACGTTTTGATAATAACCTCGTATTTGTCTGTTCAGTTGTTAGACTGAACTTTGTAATTTTTCTCTTCCCTATATATAAATATAAAATACCCCAAAAGGTGAATGAATTGAATTAATAAATGCCTACATTAAAAATGGTATTATTTTTTCCGGATTTACAAAAAGGTATAAAATTTTATATCTCTATATTTAGATTACAACAATTTGTTTTACGTCAAGGCTAATTATTAACAAAACTGTAGACTTAACTGTAAATTTTTAGTAACTGTAAACTTTTAAGTGAAAAAGTTTATCTGTAATAATTAATAAATTAATTAATAATACGCAATGAAGTTAAAACACTAAATAAAACTATGTATAGTATTAAAAGAATTGATTATTAGAACAAAATATTCTTTTTTTAAATGATAAATTACTTCATTATTAATTAATATGTACGCAAAAATACTAACTTTCTTCGTAGCGAAATCTCTCATAAGGATCCATCGCGACAAAGCAGCTCAACTCGAACGAGTAACTAATAAACGACGTTTGTTTTTCGCTTTAATACTTTCTTTCGGGTCTTGATTAATTCTCAATAAAACGCGTGTCTTGATTAATTCTAAATAAAGAGAGGGAGTTTTACTTTTCATATGCATTACTCCCAATAGAATTCAAACAAACAAAAAGCGGCGGCACTTAATAAATTCTTTTAAAGTTAGCAAACGTCGAAGTTATAACAATTAAAGATAAACCATTGATAGAATAATTGAAAAACAAAACAAAACGCAGATGATAAGAAACAAAACCAAAACTAAAATTTGTTCAGTTACAAAAAGTAAACAGCTTATATTCCTTATATACCAGCTCAAATATCTTCTCGCTAACTAGTCTAGTGTAATTTTAAACTCTAGAATTTTATTTTGTTAAATTTAACGTAGCTTTTAGTTTAATTATATTCTAAATTACAGTAATAAAAATTTTAGTATGTGGTAAACTGTATCACACTTTTATGTTCAATATGGCCTGCTATAACGCTTTTAGTATAAAATAGTAGTTCTTGAATGGCATAAAAACTTGGCAACAGTTTCGCAACAACTTCGCAACAACTTCGCAAAATCATTTAAAAGAACTTTTGTTTAAGTTTAGTGTAAAATATTTAATGAATTTTCTTGAACTGATTCTTACATAGGGCAACAAAATGTGGTAAACTGTATCACACTTTTATGTTCAATATGGCCTGGCTTGAAACCAAATTTACTAAATTGATTGAATCAAAATTTGAAATGGTTATATAATGTGCTATATAAATAAAATTTTAAACTGATACTTTTTCTTTTGCAACTCTTTTATTCTTTTATAAAAGTAAAATCTAAATATTAAACAAGAGTTTTTAACTTTAGTAGGTGTTATCTTTATTGCAAGAAGAATTTACCCAATACAATATAAGGAACATATTTAACGTGAATATCGTTAAGAATCGGAATATAATTTTAACCATTAATAGAAAGTATTAAAAAAATATAATTAAAATCACCTTGAACGTGTTATATTCGCGTGGTATGTAATTAAAATCATCTTGAACGAAATAAAGTATATATAATACTTATATTTTTAATACTTTATATATTTTACAATACTATATTAAGATTGTCAAGATCAAATTTTTTTTTTAGATCATTCAATCAAAGATCAACAAGCAAACTCAAACAAAGCATTTTTAAATTGTAATTAATGAGATTAACAAACCGTCACATTAGAATTATAGGGTTCTATCTGCCTTTTTTTATTTTGTAAGAACTTAACTTTCAATATCTACTTAATACATGTTTTACAGCTGTTATTCATTATAATTGTAATTATAAGTTGTTTATGTTATCTGTTAAAAATGTTAAAAAATGATATATAATATATCATTTTTTAAGTGGTATGTTTTTATTATTAATTATTAATTAAAACTTTGGTTGTTAAACTCTTTTAACATAAAACACGGCAGATAGAACCCTATAATTCTCATGCGACGAAAAGTCAACCTTAATGCTTTTTACAACAAAGCCTTTTTAAATTGTAATTAATGAAATTACCAAGTGTCAACCTTAATGGCTTTTACCGTTTTTTTTATGTCTAAATGTAATAACAGGCTTAACTCTGATTTTTTTAATTAATTTAGATGCGTCTAAGCATAAGAACAAATATGATTTAAGAAATAATAAACGTATCAAACAACTTTAAAGTAACATTTAGCAGATCTGTTACGTCAGAAGAGCCGCCTATTTAAAGAAATATTCTCTGCTATTGCAATATTTACTTAATAATTACTCAAGTAAATAAAAACTAATTGTGTTAAAAAATGTTTATTAACATTATGGCATATTTTTTAAAGTTGAATAATCTTAAACAATTTTGATTTTTTCAAAATGCTCGTACTTTTTTTGAGTTCAAGTTATTGTTACTTTTATTTTTTGTTATAAAAATTCTTAAATGTCTCCTTAAATGTATAACAAATTTTTTACTTGAATGTAATAGTATCATAAAAAGGAAGAAAAAACATTACTCTACAAGTAAAACCTTCAATATAGAATCTAAAATGAGAAGATATAAAAAGGAAAAAAAGTTATATTTTATATGTATGTTATTTATATATGTATCTTATGATAACGTTACGTTGTTTAGCGGAAAGTAAGTATAAAGAAATATTTAGTTAAGCTGCTTAAACCGAAGAAAATCCTCAAAATTACTTTGTTTGTTTTATTTTTATTTTAAATTTAAAAAAGCTCAATAAAATTGTTTTTCTCGCATAAATTAAATGAATTGTTTAATAATACATTAGAAAACATTTTAAAAGATTAATTTAATATATACGCAGCTCTATTAGCATTATCTCTAACAATACGCTTTACTTTACCCTTTTATTCTACCTTAACTTGGATTTAAAGACTTTAATAATAAGAAAACAGGATGAACACGAAAATTAACGCTGAGCGGCTTTGATTAAAATGAGTGGACCTAATGTTAATAGGTTTTTAACATTGGTTTTTTAACGATAACTTTTTGTCTAAAGATCAACTTACGAAAATATTTCTAATCTATTAGGTTTAAAATATGCAATATGTGCATATGGGCGCCCGCAGGATTTTTCGATGTTTCAGATAGGACATTTTCACACACTGTGCAAACTCCAAACTTAAGTATGTTTATATCTATGCCAAATGAGGAGGCCTTGCAAAAATTTGGGATGGCGGAGGTCTGGGAACAAAAAAGCCTTGAAACGTTTACCCCCTACCTAAACGTGAGCGCACTAATTTAGTAAAATTTTTAAATTTACTATCGTAAACTATATTAAATTTATCGACAGATTAGAAATTTCGTAGAAAAATATTGTAAATTACAAAAGTTATGATCATGCAAAGTTTACACCTCCCTCTTTTTTTTTTTTTTTTTTTTTTCGGGGGGGGGGGTCGGAAAATTTGCATGGTCATAACTTTTATAATTTACAATATTTTTCTACGAAATTTCAAATCTATCGATTGCCTGCGGGCGCCAATGAATATTATATTTATGGGCGCCCGCAGGATTTTTTTATTCGATTATGCATTAGGCCTGCAGGATTTTTTTATTCGAATTTTATATTCGAATACGCATTTCTCGGAATTGTACGATTCAATTCTTAAACAGTTTCAAATAATTAGTATTTTTGTTATAATTTTTTAACTAATATATTATTAAAAAACAAGTTTTAAATAAACTTATTAAAGACTTGTTTTATAATTATTTTTACCTTTAAAATTTACAAAATTAAAAACTAATAATTTCTTCCGCATTTGATTTAATAAAAGTTTAGCCTATAGTTTCAAGTTTTAAGGTTTTAAACAAATTATTGTTTTCCATCTATTAATTATCTTGTTACTTTTATTTAATGTATTACTAAACTTTGTTTAGCTAAAACAAAGATCCACTTCATGTGTTGTTCTCTACACGTTGTTGTTTGCATAAATATTTTAGTATTTAAAAAATAACAAATTTAAATATTAGCATAACAGCGCCTTTCAACTGATTACATTGAAGCTTTGCTTCGCTACTTATCTGATATAAATATTTTTGCCAATAACGTAAAGGAGATGCCAAACATTACATCATGTTTTTGTAACATGTGTAATATGATTGTGTGATTATGGCGAGGCGCAAACATAATATAGTGCCATTGTAATATGGCGCGATTTTTTAAAACAGACAGGTTAAAATTTTTAAATCATTGAAATTTGAAACTTTGTAGATTTTTTATTTATTTATTACCATATGCTCTGAAACGTGATTAATTTTATTTTGAAAAATAAATACCGTAAAACCGCCTAAGTCACCATGTAACTTCGGTCATTTAAGAAAAAATATAAAAAAAGCATGCAAAATTCAAATTTTACAAACTTTTTTTTTCTCAAATAATATATGTAATTAGTTCGTAAATATGAAATAATTTTTTAGCAAAACAATAATTTGAAAAAATGCATACTATAAAAATCAAAAATAAGCAAACTGTTAAAATAAATGATCATATTTAATCTTAGCATTATTAAGAATCACCAAATTAATTATATTTACAAAAAAAAAAATATTAATTTTTAAAAAATAACTACTTTTTTTTAATAAAAAAAGTGAAATTTTGAAATTCTCCAACTTCGGTCATTCATGGAAAAACAACGAAGGAAACAATTAGCAAGAATGTTGTAAAATGTTAGTATGTTAAACATATGACTTAGTGAATATGAACTTGAGTTGCAATTGCGTAAATTCACTGGTAACTTTACCTGTAAATTTACCAGTAGGTTTTGACATTTTTATAATGGATACTCACCATGGTATTTTATTTGAATAAAGAATTTGTTTATAATTTTAAAATTACCCTGTTTTAAAACAAAATTTACTGGTCAATTTGCAGGTAAATTTTGATTTCAAAAAATACTGGTAAATTTAAATCACTGAATATGAAGTAATTACAAAACAATAATATATATTACAACACATTGAAATAGTTTTTTGTCGAGTTAATACATCTATGTCATCTATGGATTTACGTGAGAAAGTTTGGATGGCTCGTGGTTTGAAGGCTGCAGATAAAGGTATGAGTAAAAGGAAAGCAGCTATAACATTTGGTTTTAAAAGATCAACTTTCATCGACAGAAGTAACGGCAAACATACTAAAAAAAATGGCAAACCAACTAAGTTGAGCGAAAACATTAAGAGCATTTTAGTAAAAATTTTAATATTTATGAGTGATATTGGTTTTAGTTTGACTACACTTGAAATACTGTGTGTTTTTAACAACTATTTGGCTATTTCAAATCGAATGTTTTTTTTTTGGCGGTAAAATTACACTTGCCTGGTATTACTCATTTATTAGACGTCATTGTGAAGAGCTATCGCTCAGAACTGCAAATAATATGCCGTCAAACCGTGCAATGTCGACTCATCCAGGCACTATTGATCGATGGTATTTATTAAAATTATATGTTTATATCTAAATATATTTCATAATTAATTTTTATTTAATAAAAAAAAAAAGTTCAATTTTTAAAAGGTAAATTTCAATTTGATTGTAATGTTTACAAATTGTCCTTTTTTATAAACTGCTCAATATATAGCATTTTAATAACCTAATTTATAACTTTTGTTTATTTCTTAAATCAAGGTTTGTACTAGTGTCTGATATGTACAATATACATGGATTCTAAAATACGTACCCAAATTCATCATAAATACTAAAGGTATTTATGATGAATTTGGGTACGTATTTTAAGAAGGATTTAAAACAGATGTGCCAATAATCCAGAAAACTCTGCATTTTAAAAACAACTATTTAATTATTTAAAATTTTAGATTGATGTCCAAATGCTGGAGCTAATTCACTTAGCAAGGAAGGAGAACATTGTTATTTTTAAGCTATCGGCTCATACATCTCAGGCGTATTTAGGACGGTGAAAAGTAAATGGTGCGGAATCCTAAACAAACATTTCATTCAAAACGGTTTTAAAGATCTCACAAAACCTAGATATCCTAGGTTGCTCAAACAGCTTATTGACCAAAGCTTCTTAAGCGACAATGTAAGTTCGGTCTTCAAAGCAACAGGTATTTTTCCTTTGTGTTGGGAAAAAAATGACTAATAAAAAGTTAGCTATTGGATCGATTTTTGAGCAAAGTACTCAAGCCTTACCAACACTGCCTATACCAGTCACCACAATTCCAGAAATTCCTTCAAGTATACAAAAGCATAGAAGTTCAAGCACACAAACTTCTTCAAGCTCATTAAAACAAATACCTCTTTTAACATGCAGCACAACTGCTTGTGAGCATTTAAAGACATCAATTTTAAATGCTTTACATGTTGGTCTTCCCAAAACTTCTGTATCAGAGTCAAAGCTAAATGTTTCTAATAGTAACATGCGCCTAATCAAAAGTTACATTATGACTTCTGAAGAAGCTTTGATAGAACTCACAAATAAGCAAACAATGGCACAAAGTAAGAAGAACGAAATACAAGCTAGAAAAGTTTTGCGTGAAAAAACACAACAGGAGGCTAATTCAATGAAGACTCAAAAACGTTTGGCAAAGGAAGCTGGTTTGTTTAAAAAGCCTACTATTAAAAAGCGGAAACGACAACTAGTGGGAGTTATTGAAACTCCGATTATGTCAGAATCCGAAGCAACTTCCATTTATCAACACTGCACAGTGGGCCAGAATTCACTTTTACTGGACAAAATTCATAACTAATTTAATATTAGAGCTATATTCACTAAAATTAGCATGAGTGCTAATTTGATGTCTGCGCTTTTTATGAAAGCAATGTTTTTTATTTCGTTGCTATGGATACCTTTATTTTGCTTAGCAACAACCTATTTTTGATATCTGCAGATATTTAATGAGTGCTATATTCCCTAAATTTGGCATGAGTACCAATATGACATTACACTTATTATAAAAGTGATAATTTTTTTAATTTAGTTGCTATGGATACTTGTATTACTTAATTACCAGACACTTTCCCTAGTTAAAAAGATGCAAGTTGATATTTGAATATTCTATCGAATTTTCGACCCACTTATATTAATTTTT